AGGGGTGGGCCAGCGGAGCCTGTGAGGGAGCCTGTGAGGGAGCCTGTGAGGGAGCCTGTGAGGGAGCCTGTGAGGGAGCCTGTGAGGGAGCCTGTGAGGGAGCCTGTGAGGGAGCCTGTGAGGGAGGTTCCCCGTCAGGTTCCCCGTCCCCAGGACCGTGTGAGGGTTCTCCCCAGGGGCCCCGGTAAAGGACACATACAAGTACCCCTGGAGGGGTCGCGGGAGTTACCAGACGAGTGGTCTCGAGGAACGCCACGAGAGACCCCATGAGAGCCCATGCGAGGATTCCTGTGAGGAGCCCTGTCAGAGACCGCGTGAGGGACCCCCTGAGTGCTACCATGACCGGGCCCCTTGAAGGACCCCCATGGCTTAGGAACAGGGCATTTTGGAACCAGTTCTGCACTTACAGTAATGTAATCGTCTCCTCTTACAAGGCTGGACACAGGGAGGCACCCTGTTGACAAGGGGAAAACTCTTGGATTTCAAGGAAGAATAGCTGCACTACAGGAGGAGAAACTCAAATAAAGCATGGTGGGGGGTTCTCCCTGGGAGAACAGGGAGGGGTTGGCACAGTAGAAATGTATTAGAGAACTTGGTGCAGCTTCTGGCAGCCTAAACCCAGTGATGACAGGACAGATGGCAAGAAAGGATAGTCAATACAACTTGACTCCCTGAGATGAGGAGTTTTGAGTTGTGGGTCAGGAGGAGAAGGAAAAAAAAAAACAAAAAACAAAACCATTTCTTTCATTTAGTCTTTTTACTGCTGTGCATTTTTTCCATTGTGTACAGCACCTCTGGTTGCCCAAAATGCAGTGGTCCTTACCCTTTGGGTGTCATTGCAAGGCATGTTAAATCTAGGCTTAGTTAGCCTGTGTGGAAGTTGGTCCCTGCTTGGTGCTGAGCAGGCAGGGCTGGTGATAGTCAGAGTGTTCAGCTCCTGGTGCCACTAGTGATGATGTCCCATGGTCCTTGACCTTTGCTGTGGTCTGATATCCTGTACTGTTGTTTGCTCATCCCCTATCCCTTGAACCCATATTCTCCATGTAAGCAGAAAGGGCATAAAATCTGATTTTACCCTAAACAGTATCTGAAAATTAACTGCTGTTTTTCATGCTTCTGCCTTTTCTCTGTAGAGCAGATAGATTTAGCCAGTCTGCATCCTTGACAGCTACTGCATAGGTGGACAGGAACTACAACAGATCCTGCTGCTGCTGAGGAGCTGCAAGATCTCCCTGTTCCCATTTTTTCTTGGTAAGATAGAGGCTTCTTTGAACAAAATTGAAATTCAGACCAAACAGTGCACAGGTATTGTTGATTTTTCTTGATGCAGCTGTTGATATTTTATTTTATTACTATTGCAGGGGGACAGTTAATTACAGCTGTAAACAAAGTTTCACAAGCTTTGTGACAAACGTCTGCAGCTCCATAATCTGTGTGGATTTAATCAGTATTATTAGTATTCTTCCATCATGGCTTGGCAATCCTTTGATAATCAAGATGGAAATTTGATGTGCAGCATGAAACAACAAAGGCTGAGAGCTCTTGAGATGCTGTTGTCAGATGGTATAGTGCCAGCTGGAATGTGTCTCTGAAAATTGCACAGAATCCATCCCGAGAGTGTCACACTGTATTAGGAGCGGTGACAGTGACGACATAGACTCTCAGCTTAGTGGCAAAGAGAGAGCACATTTTATTCTTGCAGATCTTCTTTTATAGACAGTTCCAAGAAGGTCTGAAAAGGTAAAACTCTCATTGGTCATCGAACTAACACATCACCATCATTGGACAGTTAGGAGCGACACCCCTTGACTATTTCTTGCAAGAAAACAAGGAGACAGCCAACACCTGTAAAGGTTGTTTTCCTTCTCTAAGGCCTGTTTGAAATCCCCCTGATGATTTCCCAGGCCAGAGTGAGAAAGTTGTGTACTTGACTTTCCCACAGGCTCAAGATAGTGCCTGAAGCCTAAATATCTCGTATTGACCACTGTCAGTTCCTACACAAGAGCATTTTGAATGGGAGAAAATTAAGCAAGCATACCAGGACCAAAGTGTTGTAGACTGTTTCTGCTGTACATGGAGTAAACATAAATGAAAAAATGGCATATTACATGGCAAAGCTTCCAGATGAGACGTAAAGGAATAAAATGGTGGAGGCTTAGGAACAAAGACCCTCACTCCAAATATTACCCCTGATTAGGGGGTATTTCTTCACTGAAAGGTAGTGAAACATTTGAATGGACTGCTCAGGGAGATGGTAGAAGTGTTCTTTCAAATGACCGGATGTGATACTTAGTGCTCTGTTCTAATTGTCAAGTTGCTGATCAATCACAGAATGGACTCACTCTCAGGTGTCTTTTCCAGCCTAAATGATCCTGTGATTCAGTACATCAGACTTGGAGAGAAGACCCTGCATTGAACACAGCAAAGGTTTTACCAGGCCTGGCAGGCAAATTCTACCTACTGCTTTTTCAGGATTCTTATTTGTTGTTACAAAGATTTGCAACCTCTTTGGTTTTCCAGCCAGTAAAAAAAACAATCTGGTGCAGGTGCAAATCCAGATAGGCTATTTCAGCTTACTGCAGGATGGCTTTTCTCAGTCGCTTTCTTCAGATTTCTGAAATAGACTGCAGTTAATATACCACAGGCAGGACACCACTGTTCTGGTGCTTTGGCATTCTCCTTGCCTTTAACATTTGTGAGGGGAAAACTGCTTGTGTTAAGAATATCACCCTGTTCCTAGTTCAGGAGTCTGTTCTACTTCTGTGTTGCAGTAAAACTGTATCTTCTTAATTAGCTCAAGGTGGTACTATCTTCCCTGTTCTTAATGCTCTATCCCACTTTTCACACTACCAACCCTTCCCCCCATCAGGCTCATTGGACAATTGATCTAACTGAGCTGAAGTTCAGAGCAGTTTTTTGCTATTTATTCTGAAGTTTTTATTTTCTTTGTGCCCTGTTTTTTCTTTTTTACATCACTTGATCTAATAAAATATTGCTCTTCACTGCAAACTGGTCTCACAGCCCTGACCCTGATGACACCTCTTCAACAGCACTACATTTTCTAAAATACATTGCACTAGCTTCAGAGAGTCAACATAATCCAGGTACACAAGCTCTGCAAGGGTAAGGCTCAATATAAAGACACCTATCTTAACTTTCAGCTTTGAGTTGAGTTTGCAGAGAATTTGTGTAGAAGCCCAGAAGATAATGGGGCTAGTCTCAAATACTGATAGCCATGTGGCTGTGGAGCCAGCCAAGGATTGTTGGTAGTAACAGCCAAGGATTGTTAGTAATAGCACACTGGGAGAGTGAACAGAATGTGGCTGGAGAAGGGGCCACATGGAAGTAGAGCAGCACATTCTGGGACACACATCCTTGTCTTGGCTCCTGGAGATAAGTGCAACACAACACAGCACAAGTGTAGGAATGAGGTCAAGAATCAGGCATGGGCTGTAGGAGGATATGGAGACCACCAAATACCCTGAAGCCTCCAATCCATTTCCACAGTAACTAAATTACACAGAAAGGGAGACATTTACCTCCAGTAAATTTCCAGCAGGGAAACTCATCTATAAAAAGGTACCCCCACAAAGCCCAGGACCCTGTGTGTGTACCCCAGCACCCTGCACACCCCATCAGCTGCATCAATGATGGAGCCAGGACTGGTGATCTCTCTCTCTCTCTCTTTGTCCCTTCCCTTCTTCTCCTCTTTAATACGTGTCTCTTTCTCTCTTCCCTTTGACCTCCCTCCTTTATCCTAAACCCACTGCCATGTGCTTATAGGACATCAGAGATTAACATAGCAGTTTCTATGCAGAGTGTATAATTTACTAATAGAACTCTGTAAAATTTTGTGGGCCCTCTTGCTGTTTCTCTTGTCCACAAGCATCTGTGAATCTTAGGTGCTCCCTTCTCCTGAAGGGTGGGATGCCACAATATGGAATTCTTCCTAGGTATAATGGAACAACTGAAAATTTTGGTGGCAAAGAGGAGTTCTCTCAAGAGAACTGTTACAAGGATTTGATAAAAAGAGAGGTTATCTTTGGGCATACCTGGGGTTGGTGCTGCATTTAGATGTGGGGTTAAAGTTGTGAGGATACTGCCAAGAAATGGGACCTGATGTGTTAGATTGTGTTGCTATGCCTGCACAACCAGAGCTTCCACGACAATTGTACTTGAAAGGGTTGCCATTTACATTATGGAAGCAAGCCCTTCTGCTAGAGATACTGTTCCCAATGGTGAAGGCAGGAAGGATAATTATGTCATTGTGTCCAGACTTCATAAAGCCCAGGCCATTAAATTCCTAACATCCATGGGCTACGTTAGTCTATCAGGTCTCAGCATTATCCTTGGAATTTGTGTTGGGCTGCTTGATCATTCTTTAGAGTGAGTGGGTGCCTGGAGATGTCCCTCGTCTCCAGGTGATCCCTGCAGACCTTATTTCAAGTTTTCTCACCTTGTAGTTTGACTGTGTGAAAAAGGTGATGCATTTCATGTGACCAGAATCTGAAACTGTTCTGCACAACCACTTTAACCCTACTATTATTTTCCATTCTTTCAACCTTTTTCAGAAAATATTTTACCTGTATTTATTTCCAGATTGAGACAGTTACACATATCTGAACTTGATACTGATCCTGCAGAGCCTTGCTTAAACACCTATTTCAGAAGGATGCTGGCAGGGGTCAACTTGTGTAGAGCACGCTCTTTTAACGGTGAGTGCTGAGTTTGTTGTCATATTCCCTGATTCGATTCTTTGATGTGCCTACCCACAGTTACCTCTACCAGACAAACTGTTTCTAAGAATTAAACAGGCTGTTGTTAAACAGAATTGTTTTCCATACAACACCATTGTTTGGCATTAGCTGTGTATTTAGCCTTGAATTATCTATTTAGTCCTCTATCAATTTTCCATTATTTTGTCTGTGACATCAGAGAAAGTAGTCTGCAGATGCCTGGTTGTTTTGTCCCCCACTCTAACAATGTAATGCTTCCTGCATCTTAAAATTCCCTAAGATTAAATTATCTCCAAGAAGCCAGAAGTTTCCTTGGCCAGCTCTTAAAGAACTTGGTGAGGCAGAGTTGCAGTAGATAATCACTGAAGGTCTTTTAAACATCCTTGCACACATCCTTATTGCACACTGCCTCTTGCAGCACTTACAGACCATCTGCCTTTATCAGCTGGATTTCAACAAGCCTAGTGGAATCACAACCTTCCCATATTCCAGATAATATAAAGATTCCTGTAATGAATGGTAACAAGCTAGTACTGTTGTTAAGTGGAAGTTGGATTTGCACCATTTGCTGTTTTCTCCCAAACTTCATTTTAGGATAAATTACTAGTATTTTTATTCTGTGATACATTTTAGGAAAATGTTTTGAATAACGTGTCCAAGGATATTTGCCAACTCTGGTTAAATGTCCGCCATCTGTTTTCAGTTTTAAAAGGGCTGTTTGTAGATGCAGCATCTGGCAATGGCAAGAACAAAGCAGTGAGCTTGGGAACCCCAGGGAACTGCAGGCTGGTGAGCCTCCACCCAGCCCTGCAAAGATGATAGTACTGAAAAGTCTGAAACATTGAGGACAAGAAGGTGACTGGAATCCATACATCCCCAGTATGGACAGGACTGAGCAAGTCATGTCAGGCTAACCTGGCCACCTTCTGTGATGAAATGACTGCCTTGATAAATGAAGGGAGAGGAGAGGGATGTTTATCAGTTTGGCCATAGCTTTCAGTGGTGTTTTCTAAAAGAATCTCATAGACAAACTGAAGGACTACAGACTGGATTTACAGACATTGAGTCGGACTGAGAACTACAGAGCTTCTGGGTTCAAGGGTTTGAGACCACTGGCAGAAAGTCCAGCTTGAGTCTAGCTGCTGGTGTTGTGACCTAGGTCCCAGACCAGGACCAACATGCATTCAAGCTCCAGATGTTTCCCGTCTCTTTAAGCAACAAGTTGAGCAGCCCAAAGCACAGGACTAAAAGCTTTCCACAAAGCCTAATAAATTCCAAGTGTAACAGCAACGGCCTACAAAATAACAGCAACAATAGGGTTTTTTAGACAAAGCCTATTTATACTGATAAAAAGCTGAAGGTGGCTTTCTGCAATTAACAGGAAAATGCTCCTATAAATACAAATGGCAAGTCATCATGACTCCTAGAATTTATTTCCTACATGAAGTGGTGTAATCAGGTGGCAAGATCATAAATTATTCTAACTTAATAGTGGTCTGCTGGTATCCTCCCTGGCCAGCTGCAGTATGGTGTCCAGCAATCCTCAGCAGCAAGACACAGGCTGCCACCATAGCACATGAAGCAGTCAATCTTGTTGTCTTAGTACTGACCAACTTTTCCTCACCCTTTTGGCTCCAAGATCTTTCTTGGGGCTCAGATACATGGGGAAATTAGCCAAAATTTCTCCCTGGGTGAAAACTAGCCTAGAACACTGCAATTATATGGGGTGGAGTTTTACAGCAACAGTGTCAGTCTGTCTCCCCAAAGACAACCTTCAGTCACATTTGTCTAGAATCTGTAAAATTTCTGTTGTAGCTGAGTCTGTGCTTCACATTCAGCATGCATCAGGCATTGCAGTCAGTTTGTAGAGATAAGAAACTCCCAGGACAGGAAAACTTTTGACAACACAAGGGAAGAAAACCCACAGGCACTGATTACAGAGGTTATAATTCTTTCTGCTGACACTTCAGCATCCCTGGAACATGACCCTCACTCTGTTTATGTCTTGTGTTTATGGCACAAATAGTTCAAGCAATGTCTAGCTGACCTTTTGATTGCAGCTCTGCACTTGAGGTCTGTAGCTTCTCTCTCACCTCTTCCAGCTCATGGTACACGTCATTGAAGAGGAAAGAGTAAGACCCTCTGTGCATGGCAGTATTTTGGAGCAGCTGACCTATAGCTCCCAAAGCCATGTTGGCCACATGGTCCCTTGAGCCTTGTAGGGGGCTGAAGCGCTCTTGATATTTGTTCTTCCAGAGGCTTGAGAGGGACTGAGGAAGGTGGGAGACTAAGCACAGAGATTCTTGTTTTCTAATACACTATGAATTTTCTCACTTTTAATCTCTCAAAAATGGGTCACCTCTTGCCTCAAAAACATTTCAAGCAATGTCCTGGCATCTCTTTATTTATTAATTCATTTACTGGAAAGCATCTTGTATTTGAAAGAGTATCCTGATCTTCCATTCACAAGCAGGATGAGTACAGCTATGGCTAGGAAGAACAAACAGAACAGTGTGAAACCGTTCTGAATCCTGTCCTGGTTTGGCTTCCTCCTTGAACAACAGCGGTGCCACCAGCTGGCAAGAGCTGAGGCCTCAGGTCACAGAGATCAGAAACAAAATACACCCAAGAAGGGAAGTGATGACAGCCAAGGAAACCTGCAGCAGCTGGGCTGGAACTGGAGGCAGGCAGCAGATTGAGTGTTGAAAGGGGTAATGTCGACTGCCACATGTTTGTACCGTACAGTGAAGGCATAGCTGATAACACCATAGACCAGCTGCAGGCTCCAGGCCAAGGCATGCAGTGGATCTCATTTTGGTTCCACAAACAGGAATGATGATGGCCACGCATACACATGCCAAGCATGGCCAATGAGAAAGCACCGAGGGAACCCAGACTGTTTGGCAGAAGGAGTGAAGACTCTGGTCATAAAACAGTTAAAAATCTCTTCTTCCAAAAATGGTGAGCTGTCTTACATAAGGGAACAAATTGATTCATCTGCACTGTGAATGGGAAAGCAAGGGGACCTGCAAGACAGGTGATGGGACAAAATAGATGAATGCTAAAATTAGTTGCTTGTGGACAATTTAAGACTTTTTATTGCTGAGATTTAAGCTGGACATGCATGTAAGAGGAGCTCAATGAATACCAGCAGCTTTGGAATTTGTGAGCTCATTTTTGGTCCTTAAGTCAGCTGGCAAGCCCCGCACCATTTGAATGCTGTATTCAATGGAATATCTGAGGCAAGTGGGGAGTTAGTGACCCTGGTTGCCAGAGCCCTCTCTAACCTGTCATTTTCTTTATGTCTCCAGGGCCAGGGGCTTTGGTTCTCCTTTGCATCTCTTAGTTTGGTTGGAAGGCCCAGTGGAATGACAGTGTTAGCTTCCCTATGTCTTTTTAAATTCTGCTCTTCCAACATTCATAAGCATCAGTAATGCCTACTACGGGAAGCAGAGATAGTCTCCCACCTAGCTTAAAAACCTTTACTTACAAAGCTTCAATTTGTCCATGGTCATGGAAACTAGCCTCTCAGGATGAGGCCAAGGGTGAAGACAACAAAGCCGAAGCTGATTTTAGGCACAGGATTTTAACTTCCAGCAAAAAACTTAGACCTCTTAAGCATTCCTCTTCTGAAAAAGTAACTTTCCCTCTTATAGGCAGTGAAACAGGACAGCTGTGTGAAAGCCTCAGTCTCCTATGCAGTGCAGATATGTCGAAGTGCTACAGCTGGAGTTTTGGGATGCAAGATCTCCCTAAAACCTGTAGTCCTATACCAGATTGTCCAGGTACATTTACCTGTGCTGTTCAACCCTTCTAAGAGGTAGGTCCTTAGAAAAAAATAGTGGTTGAAAGGAAACTTGCCTCAGAGCAAATGAGTTATCAGAACAGTTTGTTTTCATTGAATCAGTTACATCTACAAAAAGGCTGGACTGTTACAGTAAGAAACCCAAGCCCATTTGCCTTTAAACTGCCCTGGATTTACTTGCAAAGGGATATTAACAAATAAGGGAAAAAATCAGCCAAGCCAACACACTATACAAATACATTTTATTTAGAGATACCCATAGTAAGATTCACAAATACTTTTTGTTCACCAATTTTCAGATCACACGACTTCAAGTAGTGGAAAAAAACAAACTGCAGTTAATTACAATTATCTATGTAACAGTAGTAAAAGTTTCATTTGCCAGACTACAGCATGGTTAACGATACTCAGATGAAAATGTACAGGTCTAGGTATTTAAAAAGTGCATGGGGCATTGCCACATACACTAACATGCTTCTTCAAAGAGCAGTATCTTTCTGGCATGTGAACACAGTAACCCGGTTAATGCAAGAGGGAAAATAGGCTCACAATTTGATTTGGAAATGTATCTACTAAAAATTTTCCTCCAAACAGCAAATTATTTGTGACTGACACATGGAAACCAATCTATAACAATCACTGTTACATTGTCCATGTAGTCAAGCAACACACACATGACCTAAAATTTAAAATTATCAGTTCCAGTTTATGCCTTCAGAGCTTTTACACAGTCTTCTTCACAAGAATCCAGAATACTTAATTGCAATTAACAAGCTGGTGGAAGAGCTGTAATCTGAGCTCCACACTCTCGCACTCACAACAAGTTCTTCCACAAGAGAAATCTCAAATTAAAAAAAAACTTATTCCACCTGTAAGGACATCAACTGGCTCATGTATTGCTTGGTTTATTTTTAAATTCCCATGTTAAGGGAGGGAAAGGTAGGAAGCTGTGCTGGTCTTGAAGAATATCTGCGTTGGTTTAAAGTTATATTTAAAACACATGGAACCGGGACTCTTTATCTCCAGGGTCTCTCTCAAACCAAGGAAATTCATTAGGTTCCGCTACTCAATGCAGTCCCCATTTTGTTTTTAAATAGGGATAGTGCTGAATAGTGCTTGGGAAAGACCAGCAAGGACTGTTGTGTGATAGCATGTAAGAGCAAGAAACAGATTAAATCAGTCTTCAGATAATCTTCTTCCATTGCAAACCAAAGAGCAACCGAGACTGACTTTTCGTTATAGTTGAGAGGCACATTTTGCATTGATGGACAGAAAATCTTGATTTATGTTGCAACTTTCTGTGGCTTAAAATACCACATAACTTCCTGTTAAAGCAATTTTAAAAAAGAAACAAAAACAACCCTCAATTACTGTTTTCATACTTAAAATTCATAAGCTGCTCCCTCACCTATTCCACTCAGAGATACCTTTCTACTTGTGTATGTGCAGCTGCTTTCCTCATTGTTTGTCTAAGAGATCCTTGTTTCTGTGCACCTTGAGAGTAGAAAAATATTTCTGATGCCTCAGGATGGGCCCTTGTACTATGTTCAGGAGCTGAGAAAGTATGGTTTTGTACATTTGCAGTGAACCACAAAATAAAAACAAGAAAAAGAAAAGCCACTGAATTGCAATAACCAGCAGTATGGAAATCAACTCCATGGAATAGGAGTGACTTTGGAGCAAACCTTTTTGGACTGAAAGGGATATGGCAGTCCAAGATAGCTAGAGCTGAGTAAAAAGAATAAGAACACTGTGAGCAAGGTCCCAGTTCAGCAGACCACTGCCTAAGCGAGTGTAGAAGTTTCAAAGTCTGGTAGGGCTCTAACAGTTACCCCTAGGCTTTGCAGAACTTGGTACCTGAACTAGTACACCATGAGAGAACAGGGAACTTGCTCAAGTCCCAAGCAGCAGTGTGACAAGATGAGAGGCTGGGACAAGAGACTGAGACTAGAGACAGCATTTTGAACAAGAGGGACAAAGCCCACCTGAAGTTACTTACCCAGTTCTTTCTGTAACAGCCCCACTATCACACCTGCAAAGAGAGAAGCCCAAAGAAACCAGCTGAAGCTGTAAATCACAGCTGGCCTCTTATATCCCTGCACTGTCAGCAGCCAGCCAAGTGGAGGACAATGCAGACAAGGCCCTTTCACTCCACCATCCCTGCACAAAGCATGTGGAGGGGGCTGGTGGCAGCTGTGAAACACATTAGTCATAGTCACTCATGGAAACAATGACAAGTGCACTGTTAACCTTGAATGCTGAGGAGAAGACTGAGTGACCACTGGGGAAACTGGTTTTTCCACATGCCATCTTCACATCTCCTCTGAAGAGGGATGACCACCAGTTTTGAAAGCTCTGGGAGCAATTAACTTGCAGTGATCTAAGGCATGATGGCACAAACCCTCAAGGCCTACCCTTCAAGCATTCCATTGCCAGCTCGCCTCTGAACCTAGCCAGCCTTTGTCATTCTTGCTGGCCAAAGTACTTTAGAATAACTTTGCTCTTTTGAGCACAGGGTTATTGTTTTGCTCATATCCCTACTCTTTTGTAATTCCACCCCAAAAAAATAAATCTCTGGAGGAAACCTTTACATGGGATCAAGCCAGCAACTCATCCTCCTGATATTGCCCTGAATGAAATCTTTAATCAAGACTTAGAGTAGCAGTCAAAGATGCCAGTTCTCTGGCTAAACCACTACACATCAATTTGACAAACACTGGGTGAAAGCATAGGGCACCTGCTGATTTCCACTGAAAAATACGACTGCAAGAGGATTTCAGCTTCTGCAGACTGTGCAGGAGTGGAGTCTCCACTTGCAAGACAGGCATCCAGCCATGCAGTTTATGGTAGAAGCACAGAGTGATCTTGCCACATTGGGCTACAGGTTTTCTTTTTATTATGACTTGATAATTTTCAGAGTAGGCCGACAACTTTGAACTGATTGTTACAGGTGAACTAGGAAGAAATGGGAGAAGAGGAAGATACCAAAGATAGAAAACAAAGTTAAATCCATTTGTTCTACTTGGAAAAGTGACCGTCATAAAAACAGCACCTGACTGAATTTAAATTAAAGAACTCTGAAACTGACATGAAGCAAAAAGAGCTCAACAGTATGTGTACACTGTGGTATAGAGAGAACAGATAGCACAGAAAACACACAGACCTTAGAGTTCCATGACCATGTATTAATGTCAATACACTGATGACTAATCATGCTGATTCTACAAAGGTAGCCTCATGGATCAACAGAGTGCAGTACTGTAATTCAGTTAATTATGCATAGGCATGTCCATGGAAGACCACAGCAAGTGAAGATATAGTATAGAAGATAAAGAAGTTCCTGTTTCTATGCTCTTATGAGACGTAATGTATCAATTGTACTGTCTGCATAAGATTCAGAAACTCAACCCAAATTCCAGATGTCAGTTTGAGGTTTGTAAACAAATGTATCTTTAGAAAACTAAGCCAAATGTATGCCTTTGTGTTGAAAAAAACAAAAACAAAAATCCTTTTCAGAGGGGAGAAACAATTTGAAAGGTAACAGAACACTGAGCTCCATGAGCAGACAGGCTAGTTTCACATACTATCTGCAGTTTCCCACTGTTCCATTTGTAAGCTGCATCAATGACTTGGAACAGGTTAAAAAATGTGCACTGTAATATTTCAAGAGAACTGTTACTACTTTGCTTGACAGCTTCTATGATAGTTCAGGATTCAGCGCTGTTTCTGATACAGGTCATGACAGAAACAAGCTGAGAAAGCCTCTGTTAGATGGGTGGAATTGGAGGAGTTGTTAACAAACATCAGACCCTGGATTCAGAACAAAAGCCATCAAGTATCAGCAAGTCCCAATTATTTTTTTTTCCTCAAAGCTTTGGATCTTATTAAAAATATTTGTGAAAAAAACCAAAACATTTAAACCAGTTCACTGTAGGAAATCCTACCTTCAGGCAACAAATTATGATCACTGCACATTTTAAAACACCTTGTGCATTTTGTGCATCTTATGCACCACAGGCAGTAGGGAAGATCCAGCATTTATCTACACATGAACATACAAGCAAGCACTGACAGGTGTTACTGGCAAGACTGATACCAAGACCAACCAGCACATTGATTTGTCTACACCACATCCTAAGACAAATGGAACAAGTCACAAGTAACAGTACAAACCTGTTGCAATTTTAACACATATATCTTAGAAAAAGATAATGCATGTACTCAACCCTAGGACAGTGACAAATTTGAGATAACTATAAAGATCAAGGTACCAGAAGAGGAAGGCACATTAACCTCTGGTTGGTCCATTTCAGTACTATTTGGATGAGTCATAGTGATTTATACCCTGAGACTGTGGGAGGCCTTGAATATGAAAAGAGACCAGGTGAATGGGCAAATAAAAAGTACAAGTTTAATGAGATTGTAAGATTCAGCACCTGAATTTTCCCTTTTAGTACGGGAATCTAGAAAAGCAGTTCCTAAGAAAATGCTGTATTGACTCCTAAATTTTTTGTCCTGAAGGCAAAAAAATCAATTCAAGAGAATCTTGGACTAAAGACATTGCATTATGTTGCAAGGGGTTTTATACACCCTCTCAGTTTTAGTACAGCAACCACTATTTGTATACAATCAAGTGTTAGTAGTTATTTGGGTATAGAAACAGTCAGACAGCCCACATTATCCCACCTCTGCCAACCCCAGCACTCCATTTTAAATCTTTCTGCACTTTTTTAGACTACACTGCTCCCAGCAGGATACTAGTGGGAAAGGCTGTTAGGAAATGAAGGATTTCTTTCTGCAAGAGCATTCTTTTAATTAGCCAAGTACCACATGGTTTTCTTGAAAAAAACCAACATCACAAGGAAGAAGATCCTGCCTAATTTTATCCTTGAAAAAAACCACAAAGAATCAGAAAATGTCAGGGATATATATTTGATCTCTCAAAGATGTTTCTGATTAAGCATTTACATATCCCCTCTACTTTTTTAATTCTTCAGGAGTTCCAAGAGCCATACCAAACACTGCTTACTTTTTACTGTTTCTCTGGTGTTACTTAACCATCCTCACTACGCAAAGTACTCATGTACAGCGGCAAAGGAGAGCACCTCACACAAGACGTGGATGTGTTCTTTTTTCCACTCTCCCTTGTCCTGGGGTGTCTGCTTCAGAATTTCAAGTAAGTTACTGAGGGCGCTGTAAGACTCGGAAATGGTTTTAAGTTGAGGTCATACCATGGGCTCACTGTGGGGTGGCCAGCAGGGCACACAGGGAATTTCACTTAACTTTAAACTAAAACATTTGTGCCTGGTAGGTCAGGTGTCCCTGGCTCAGCATAGGCTGGCTGGAGGATCAGCTCCACCTGCATGACACACAGCTCTGCAATGGAGTTCCTTAGGAATAAGCTGTACCCCAGTCCAGTAATTCAGTCATAGCAGCAATTGCAAAAGTAACTAAGTAAGAAGCTATCAGACACCTTGGAAAAGTGCATTTATTGAAAATAAGGGTAACAGACCACTAAAAACAGACCTTCCACCTGGCTGCTGTAAGATGCTGCTGCTTTCCCACATGCACTAACTGACAGCCCACCTATCCTTGGTTTCTTGCAAACAAAGCAAACAATAACCTCTGGAGGGTCTAGGAAGCCTGCTTTGTTTCACACCTGCATCAGATGAGGCACAGCAGTTCAAAAGGCCTGTAATGCCTCTCAGCTGAGTGGTACAAATTAAGACAACAAAGCACCACTTGACATAGCTGGATCATAAATTTAATCTGTTAACTTTGCAGCTGCAAGCTATAAGACAAAGCAAGTGCTCAGGTAAAGGAACAGGATGAAATTCTGGAAGGAAATGATCCCCAAGTATCTTAATCCTTTAGATAAAAAAGCTGCCGAAGACCTAAAATGGAGGCAGCAAATATAAACCCCTTAATGCTATTAAAAATTTCCTCTCATGAAGACAATCACAAGAGTCACCCACAATATGACTAATTTTTGTGAACAGGCTAAGTCCAGCAAGATCACTGGGCACTCTTGCAATGATCTAAAAAATGGATCTGTGAGGAGAATTAACAACTTGGACTAGGAGCATAAACCTACTATCAACTATTCTTTGGTAATTTCTTCGTCTCAAACTAACACCAGCAGCACTGATGAGGGAATCAAACAAATGGACTTGCTTCTTTACTGCAATCCCAGAAAGCACCAGAGGAGAGCACTAGTAATTCTCCCTACAAGACATGACTGTACAAGGGAGAAACCTGGAGGAATTACAGGAATAAGGTGTTTAGTGAAGAGGATGAGCACAACACTTATTTACTGTGCTCAAGCCAATACTACAAAGTAGCTTCTGATTCCTCAGGAATGTCCCATGATGTAACATCCATCTGTTACTGAGGAGTTGCTACCCTGTATTTACAAGCTAGGTATTACCAAACCCATAACTGAGTCACTAGTTTGATTACCTGTCATGAATACTGAAAATGTAATATTCAAAAATACCCAAATTAACATGGTAGTTTACTGAAGAGAGCTGAGCAGTAGAATTAACTGCTTCCTAAACTCACTGGTAGCACGGAAGATCCCATACAACTGAGAAGTCAGTAGCAGCCAGTCTGAAGGCATGTTATGCTGTAAATTCTCTCCTTCAAGCAAGATAAACCAGGGTATGCTCCCCACCCATACAGACTGCTACAGTGTAATTGTATCAGTCAAACATGCATAAGGGCAACTACCCAGTTCAACAGTCTGAGCCAGCCTTTAACTTCTACCCAGCTAAAAGAAAGCAAATTGGACTTGAGCACTGGTTGATAGAATACCAGCAAGCCTGTTCCTGCTCAGCAGAGGTCACTTCTGCAAGGCAAATACTGCTACAGAAAAGACTGGTATGATTTGGGCTGGAAGAGGTAACCTCAAACATTCTAGCAGGAAAGACCAAGGGACGGAAATCTTGAAAGAAACAGTAGAAAAGATGATCTGAATATATATATGTCACTGGGCCTCAGCAGTGCACAGCAAGCTGTTCAAGAAGCTACTGAAGCGCAGTCACCAGACTGAGCTCACTCCATTGTAGGGGGTGTATCTGGCTTTTGAACAGTGAGGCACCCAACTTGCTTCTCTAAAGAACCTGGAGGTTCCCTGCTCTGTAGCCATTCTTGCACTTGGATTCTACACACTCAATTCTAACCATGATCCTGAATTGCAGTAGATATCTAACCCAACAGAGCAATGAAATCAAAGTCAAGAAAAATTCAGTTTTTCTCCTGTTACTTATCTTTGGACAACTGGCATATCATCATCACCTTTCTGTGCCTCAGTTTCTAATAGTGACATAACAAAAGTTATGTATGACCAACTACAGAAATATTCTGAAACTTAATATCTATATCACTATAAGTATTTAGAACCACTGAAACAAGCTAAAAATTAAGTTATCTCTGGCACAAATTGTTTGTGTGCTTGCAGCACTATCTGGTTTGGTTCCTAGTTTTTTTTTGTGGGAGTTTTCATACAGCAACAAAGATGGCTGCCTTACCATGTGAAGTTATTTTTGCAAGAAAGCATCCTGAAAGCAGAATACACAAAAGCATGTGAGACTTGGGGAATTTTACATCATTGTCCAGATTCATCTGAGAATTGTGCAGAGCCTTCTATGAATCAAAAAAAAAGGAGGAAAAGGGCACTCACATTACCAGGCTTTAGGAGCACATATTGAGGTACTTGAGGAGACCACAGTCAGCAAGGAGGGATAACTTCCAGTGGTGCCCCTTCAGTAACCCAGAGACTGCAGAAAAATCAGCCTCTATGTCTGAAGGCCATATACATACTCTTTTTTCCTCCTATCATGGCATAAAATATGCTTCAATTTATAGATCAACATCAGGGCTAGAATTCCCAGACCAGGAGTCTACCTTTGGCACTGCTGACACTAAATGCCCAGCTATTACCTGTTGCTTCAGCAGAACTGGAGTCTACTCAAGTAGACTTAAGTGTCTAGCTTCTTTAAAAAAACAAAGCAAAAAACTTCAAACCAAACCCAATGAAAAACAAAAACAAAAAACAAACCGAAGCAGAACATGTTCCTTGTGACAGAATGATTTTACACAGTAGCTGTAATAGCCCCTAAAATAACCAAAGCAGCTACCCCTTGGTATATAATTTTACATTTTCAGAGAAAAGCCTGTCTAGCCATACACACAGTACCTTGAACTGATGCAGTTTAAGCAACCAGGCCACACTGGTAAATATTATGAAACACTGGAAGATGATCTGCTTGTGAAGCACCTGTGTTAATGCTCAGTGCTAATTATACTTCTGGTGCATACCTGGGAGAGAGCTCTTCTCTTGCCAGGATTTCCACCCCAATGAGAGGGACTTGTACTCCTTGTAGGATTTCCATCCAGGTCTCCATACCAGCTGGAACCTTAGCCTGACTCTGACTGCTTGGTGTTACTGATGAAGATACCGTGTATGAAGATGAGAGAGAATGCAAAGACACATGCAGATTAGCTCTGGGCTGTGGGCAGGAACTGCGGTAGTAGCTGTGATCTCCCACAGAGATGGGAGAACAGAGCATATCCCAGCCTTGTCTTTCCTCTCAGTTCCAATCAACTTTCAATTTGGCACCAAAGCTGTGAGGTACAGGCACACTTTGCTCCACCAGTGTCAGGGGAAAGGCATTAATTCCAGCAGAGGACAGAGGCATCACTGACAAGCTGAGAGGTTAGTGCCTGCCAAAAGGAGGAACACCACTGAGTCTTACATTTTAGCTGAGTATTGGATAAAACCATCACCCTGGGAGACACACACTTCACAGCTGGACCTGAAGGGCTTTGGACCTGTTCTCCCCTCCCAGTCCCAGGTGAAGTTGGAGGGAGTCGCAGAACTCAGAAGGCAGCAGAGGATTCTGGAAAAGCCTGAGCTTCTCCTACAGCATATACTAGCACAAAATGAGGGAACACCAAGATACCTTCCTTCACAGAAAGCTTCTCACTTGCATTATTAATGTCTGAGATGCACTCCTTAAACTTGGTGAAAAAAAATAGTTTATTTATTCCACTGGCTTATTTAAGTAGATGGCCAACCAGAACAGCAAAAAGGGGAAAAACTCTCACAACCTGGGAAAAAAAAGGTCCGAGGTTTTAGGTAGTTTATGGAGAGTTTATAAGCAACCCTATCAGCATACTTAGAAACCATATTGCATCTGGAACGCAGACAGATTAAGTTCATTTTGAATAACTAGCCCCCGTTTCCTCTCAGCATCTCTGCAACCCTCAATGTAATGTCACCCTGCGATAGCCACGCAGCAGAACAGCCTATACAAACTCCAGCTGTGCAAGCGGATACCTGGGACAGGCAGTGAAGAAACAGATCAATTTTTGCTCCTAGCACTGCTGAAAACTACCATTCCAACACAAATGCACTTTTAAAAACTCCCACACTTTGGATTTGATTGGCAATACCCCTAGGGAATCCATCCCTGGGCTTCACTGAGTACAGCTTAAAATTACCATATCCTTCTATGTATAAACAGTGTCATTAGACTTGTACTTTTAAAAAATACGATCAACCCAGGCCAGGGCCAGGCTCTGAAGATAAAGTAGTAGCTTATCTCTTATAAATATTTTTAATAATTTTTAATTACAAGTAGTCCTCACTCCAGGTAATGTAACTGACACAAAGTACCTGCACACATGCAGCCCCAAGACTTTCACAGAAAGCTCAGGAGCAACCACTCTAAAAGAAAGAAATCCTACCTCACAGCAAAGTAGAGGAGGGGACACATGGCCAAGACAGCCTAAATGGGGGGAAGAGTCATTTGGAGTAAATGCAATAAAAAAGGACTTCAAAACTCCTCCATATAAAGGATCAAGGAGGCTAAAGCAAAAAACTAGTTCAAAAAGATGTACAAAATTGTTGGAGACCAACAGAAAACTCTGCCAAAAAATAACTTTTGTTTAAATCAGGAGTCAATGGCATCACACAATTTTGGTGTTAAAAAAAGGAAAACAAAAGTGGAAATCTGTTTAAAGATCAGCATCAGAATGAAGAGTTATCATTAGCTCCAGAGACCAGCATAATTCCCATGAAGTCCTGATGGAAGAGGGCCTCCTGCCACAAAGAGTTTTGTTCCAGACGAGTCGTAGCAGTGGGTGTAAACAGCATTTGGGAAGTAATTTATGTCAGAAAAATAATTCCTCCAGGTTTCATCATGGTTCTGTTAAAGGAAAATTTAGATTGTTACTGTTGACAAACAAACCCCAAACCCTGTTTCACAAAAGCCAAAGGTAGCTTCCAGAGCCTAAAAAGGGGTATTTTCTCTTGAATCCTGAAGCTTCATAAAGGTCAACTAAAAGATATCTGAGTTGTCCTAAAGCTTTTTCTGAGAACATTTAGGTCAAGCATTGGAACAGGGAGGTGAGGGGATATTGCACTAATACAAAAAGGCAATGGAGCTAAGTTAAACAGAGCCATTAACTGCTTTATGATAACATACAGGAAACCAAACTCAAGTGCCTGCCACGGCATTACCTCAGGAAGCCACAGTTTATAAAACTGCACACAATTAAATTAAAAGTCTCTTGCTTCAAATGCCACATTAGATTACCATAGCTTTAAAGAAAGACAATTTATTTTTTGTTTGAGGTTCTGAGAACTAGAAGTTAGATTACATTTGAAAAGATATAAAATCTAGTTCATTTATGAATCAGTGCATAAGACAGTAATCACTACACCTTACACTCAAGCAAATAACCTTCAGTACCCTTTCATAAAGTTTTTGTAGAAAGCAATTCTTACTTCATTATTAGTTTTTGGTTACATGAATACTGTTTGACTGAGACACATTTCACACAACAGATCCAAAAAGAATTTGCTCAAGCTCTAGGCTGCTTCTGCATAATGGGTCTCCTTCCCTCCCACCCCTATCACAGCTACAAACTACTTACCAGCCAGCCTTTCCCAGTTGTCAACTTCAAAATTTCACTTCCTCCTAATTTCTGCTTCTGTCCATAGCAGGCACGGGGGAGCTTTTCTTCCAGGAACCTCTGGGCTCTGATATCATAAAACAACAAGGACCCCTGCCCTGTCCCCACAGTGATGATGTGCTCATAGAAGCTGACTGAGCGGATACCTGTCAAACAGGGAAGAGACAGTGCAGTAAGGAAGAGGGATGCTTTGGCTCTGCAGTGCTGTTGCTTCATGTCTACTATTACCTGCTAGTATTCTCCACAACACACAAGTTTTCCCACTGTTACAGAAATCCCACTTATGCTACTGAAACAGCAGCTTTGATTGCACACATGACTGCCCTACTCCTTAAGACCATCAGCTACACCAATGGTGCACAGTAAGAAGCTTCATCCTCACCAGCCCTCAGGTCTGCCAGATAAGCCAATTAGAGTCCAGAGTACCTTTGCTCTGTCTGCCACAAGCTTTTAAACAAACACACCAAGACCAAGTATGTGGCAGCAGACAGGGGGAAGAGCACCATGCTGTTCTCCTCCAAGAGCTCACACCCTCTCTAGCTACCTCCTAACCGGCAGTAAGTGACCATCTGAGAAAAGTTCCAGCTGTCACCAAGTGCATTGTGCTGATCAACAGGCTACCTGTAAGCAAGTGTAACCATAATATAATCACCAGTCACTTTGCTGCCAAGCTAGCTTCAGAACTATTAATGAGTTTCCACTCAAATATTCTCAAACACACCTTATTTTCAGTAGCTAGAATTTTTAGCACTTTAGCCAGGAAAGAAAACAGAATAGGACTCCTACCATCTAGACAAAACCAAGTTCCACCAGTACATGGGAAGGTATAGTTCAATCTAAACATGTTAGCACAATTCAGTTGTCCCATTACATTAAACAAAAGAGTACATTTTGTTTTCACAAAATCTAAATTTGAAGTCTCAGCTAATCAAGGATCCCTTAGAACTAGTCTTGGGGGAGACCTCTGTATGTAAAAATTTGCAATCTGCAAAACATTCCGTCATCACATCTCCATTTACTATGCAAATACTGTTCTGGGTAGCCACTCTACTCCAAACAACTCTTCCCCACAGGTTAAATTCCACCACATCTATACTTCTATTTCCTTCATGACAGGATGCCAGTTTTTTTGGCCTGGGGCTTTTTAGGCCCTTTTTAAAGTACCACTGAATTATAGCCTAAACAAGCATTCAGGAGAGGAAGTAAGTGAGTTATGCCAGCTACATTCACATGCTAAGTGTTGTCACCATACCAAGCATGGCTGAATGTCACAGAACTTGTATCATCCTGGAATATTCCCAGCAGCACACCTGACAGCAGACAACTGTGAGCTGTGGATGCAACAAGGGAGTTTCCCCTTCCCCTTTGTACAGAGTCCTAACAAGAAACATGTCGTCATCCTTCTTCCTCTGCCACTGGATGCGACATCCACAGCCATCAGCATTTGTGACATGCATTTGGAACAAGGCAAAGCCACATTGTCCTGCTCCAGATATGGGATGAAGTCTTGGCTGCAGACTTAATGGGCAGGAAACTACTGTGCAAGTCTCTCTACTGAAGCAGATTATGAGATTTATATGAGAGTCTCTGCTTTAATTCAGGGAGCTACAAATGCACTTAAGACAGCAGAAGACCTTCCCCCAGCCTCTCTCACATGGCTCTGGCAAACACAGAGAGAAAGCTTTAAGCCCTCTGCAGTCAGCAAAAGCAGTCACTTGGGTAAGAGGAGAAAGGCACAAGAGTAGACCTCCTCTTATTTTTGCTCCAGAAGTGCCCTTGACAAGCCACCCAGGAGAACACTTACTTCAGACAAACAGGTGATGGAGTATCGAGGCAGATGGCATATACTCTTCAATTAAATGTATTAATAAAAAGCTAAAAAAAGGAAAAGCAACTGTGGATCTTTCTCTAACCAAAGAAATTAACTGAAGGAATCCATGATGTACCCACTACTAAGAAGGATATTTAGAACAGGCTTTCAAGAACAACATTCCAAATTGTCTCCTATGGGGCTGAAGATTAATCATTCCCATCATGCTTAAAAGTACAGCCTGTGCCTAGAACCAATCACAGCAAGTTCTATACTCTTAAGCCCAGCTGAGAGTATACCCTTAACCTAACCTACCCTATACCTTAACCCTAAGCTCCAGCCGTACTGAGCCACCACCTTTGTCTGACCTGCTTTTGTGTACAGCACAAGCGAACTGAAGTTAACATGGACTTTCAACTTTGCACTTTCCAAGTGCACACTCCAGCACAGGGGCACTTGGAAACTTAAAGCATATTCAGGTACCACTGCAAAGCACTTGAAATCAGATTTTAGTCCACAGATCAAGAAAGACCCTGTTTCCTAGAGGTGCTACACCACTCCAAGTCCTAGGGAGATCAATAGAAAGTGGAAACACTCAGTATCTTGGGAATTACTGTTATTTATGTGCCTCCACCACCATATGAAATAAAAAGATGTACCTACTCTGCAGAAAACAGCCCTGAACAAAGGTTTTCTCCAGACTCCTTGAGGTACTCCCTACACACATTATCCCCCAATATGGAACATCACATACTTGAGGCAGAAGGTTTCAGCCACCAGCCACCACTGGGCACTGCATACACTGCAATGTCTGGGTCAGAACCTGGACAGAATCCTCGCTAACAGCAAGTAAGGACAAGTGATCTGGCTGGTAAGACATTCAGGTGAATTCTCCTGACATAGACATTTCTCCCATATCTGAAAGCAGAAGACCCTGACACTGATCTAGACACCACCATTCAGTAACTTCATAAATAAGTTTCCTAATCTTTGCAGCCATATGTTCTCCTCCGATAACCTGCCTGATGAGGAGATGGAAACCCAGAGAAAAGCTAAGCAAGGACTGCAACTTATTAGGCTGGGACTAATATGGCACCATGCCTTCTCATGCCTGATAGTAAAGGATATGGAGAGAACTTTATGGAACTATAAAAAGGGTTCTGCAAGCCCACAGGCCTGGCCTGGCATAAGGTTCAACTGGACAAACTGCATCCATATGAGAAACAGCACTCAAATCATGTAGAAAATCAGGAGTTCCAGTCGTGGCTTTAAAATTACAAAGCAACCTTTCCCTCACAGCACAGACACCCAATAAGATAGCACAGAGCAGACAACATGCCTTTTTCCTGATTCATAGAGAAGAATGCAAGAACAGTATGAACAGTGGTAAAAAGACTACATTAGCTTTGAGACAATAAAAAATAGAATAAGACCCAGTAAAAAAATACACAGCAGTAAAATGCATACTTTTGAAAGTTCAGAAATATTTGGATAGTTAACAACTGAGTTGCTCCTAAAGACAGTGATGTTGCCCTTCATTAGATTTCAAAGTTGGTCACATTGGGTTTTTTGTTTGCTCCAGGTATACTATCATGAAACCAAACCTATACATACACTCCTAATTATTTAGCCCATCACTAGAAAAACCTTTCCTGTTCATTAGAAGCTTGACTTACTACAGTTTTAATAGCTACTTCTGCAAGCAAATCATTTGAAGCACCTTTGACAGGCTTCTGTCTTACCACTGCCTCGTTCTTTGGAACAGACGGATTTAACGTTGTGAGAAGGCTGCCTCGGATCCAGAAAGGAGACGTGTGCCTGTGATCCTACTGCATACACTGACCACTCCTGGCCGTAAGCCAAACACACGTTCTCCCTGCAGTATGGCAACTTTGTGGAAAGTAACTGGAAACAGAAAAAGTAAAAATCAACCCATTACAAGAAAAGACTAGGGTGTTAACAGAACAATTTTGTAAGCTATGTTCTAGGAAGCTGCATGGAAATAAAACACAAAATGCGGGTGAAAAGACCCAGAAGAAAGAAACAGGAAACAATGGGGTGCCTTATTTGAAGCAAATTGAGACAATAAAGGCTGAAGCAAAAAGAAATGGACATTTTAATAAAATGTTTAGATCTGTCTAAGCTGCTTCTATTTCTTTAGCAGATACACAGCAACATCAGCTCTCAGCTGAAAAAGCTGATCACATTCACTAGCATAGGTAAGTCTGGGTGTGATTTGCCATTACACTTATTTAAGTGCAAATTCCTTTATGAATTCTACTGATCAAGTATCCACCATGCTCCACTGAATGGTTCACTTCAGCTAATCCAACACAAGCAGAAAGTTAAGGGGGCTTCTTGCCCTCTAAATAAGGATGTGTGCAGAGCCTCTCTCCTTTTCATGCTCCAAACTTTAAAATATTTCATTTCACATAGGACTTTTAAGTGTTTTACAAACACTGCTGCTCTTCAAATATTTGAAGGAAATTAAGAATAGTGAACAGCCTTAACAGCTTGCAGTTTTTGAAGTTTAACTCCAACAAATGGAAAAGCACCTTTGATAGCGTGTGCTCTGCTTTCCAAAGATGAAAATACCCATCCAGGGACACAGCTCCCAGCTCCTATTAGAAGGAAAATAAAAATAAGACAGTTAGTTTCTGTACTATAGATATCCTTAAAAACTCACATCCTATTCTAGGCAGGCTGCACAGTCTGGACTGAACCTATCCATAATCCTGTAAGACTTTATCAAGATAATTTTCATTTTATACTGATCTTCACAGAATACCATACAGTACTTCAGGTATCAAGCAGAATCAAAATTAACAAAAGAGTAAATAAAAATAACTTTCAATACCATAAATCTCACTAGGCAATTAAATAATGAATTATGAGACAGTACAATCTAGAGTTGATAATTCTCTTCATCAGGTCCCACACTGATTCTAACCCTGAAGCAAGTTTCAGGCACTACTCTACTGAAAAATTTGCATGAAGTTTCCATCACAGAGGAGTAACTAACAGCTGTTTTGAAAAATAAAGCCTACAGGAGCACTGTGCTTCCGACAGCACACCCACCACCCTTGCTTCAGACATCTTCTGTTCTTTGAGGGCAGCAGGGAAGACAATGTGGTGAAGAATGAATTGTTACACCTACTAGTAATAACAGGAGATCAGGATAAGGGAGATTGACATTTGTCAAATACCAATAAAATAACCCCAAAGCAAGTGCTCAGGCCTGCCCTGTGAGTCAGTCACCTCATTTGCTGAGCAATCCAGAAAGGACTCAGCACTGAAAAAGGAACTGTTAAATGTTAGTTGGTCTTCACAGAGGGCAAAGGAAAGCAGAAAGAGCACTCAAGAATGGTATTCAAGCTGCAAGAGATATTTTGGTGCTTTTTCTGCTTCTTGTAAATATTTCTTTATTCCCCTGCTTAGGATGCAAATCTAAAACACACAGGAAAACTGTGCCTTCTAAAATGTCTGGGGTTGATTTTTCCCCCTTCCGGACTCCTCCATTCACTTGGGGCAGAAGCAGACCTAGCAAATTAAAACCACTGCCTCACTAGACAAGGATGCAAAAGAATCAGAGAAAAATGTATTAGCTTGCTTCTCTGGTATATTCTGTTTAGATTACTTTTTAATTTTTCTAATACACAGGGGTAATTTCAGAACTTCTCAATTGTCTTGCTTATCTTACTGACCTTGTTCTTATTGTTGAAAGCCAATGCTCGGACTTTGCAATTGTCAGGATTGGTGTTCTCCTTGGGGATATCCTTCAGAGCACTGTGTGTTATGTGGGCATAGACAGGAACTTGAGAGAGATTGTGCCTGGCATCGCTTTTGGATAACACATCCTCTGTGACTTCCCAGAGACCCATTGAACCATCCCGGGAACCTGATCAAATACATGAATAGTCCATTCCATATATACAGAACTCCTCTTTAAGAAAAAAGGATTAATCAATAGGGTCTGAAAAAACAGATAATCTTAGTTTAATCTAACAGAACACAATGTTAGTGCCCATATGTTCTTGTTAACAAAAGGATGATTTGTAAAGTTCAGAATATTATGAACTCACTGTCAACTGTCCATATGGTTTTCAAGCAGTTAGACCACCTCATACGTTTTCAAACTGATTAAGATGCATCAAAACCCACAACTCTGTGCAACAATTATCATCATCTCATATGGAGAATGAACTCAGAAACAACTGAACACTATAGGTTCACTATAGCCTGTCACTCTCAGCCTTACTAAAACAGTCAGTTAAACCAGTGGAAAAAATCTCCATAAAAACCTCAGCTGGGTTTATGCCAATTTGGGTTTCCTTGATTTCTATTAGTGTGCTTATGGCTGAGTACACAGTCGTTCATGAGCTGAGCAGAAACATCTATTTGAAGTCTCAATTGTACCACTTTGGATGAAATCTATCAGAAAAATTATTTTGCTAAAATCTGTGCCACTTCTTCCTTAAAGAATGTAACTTAGGCTAAACAAACAAGGACTCATTTTATTTTTCTACTGAATTTGAATACATTAATCCAAAATACAAATCACTAATGTTAAGAACACTGGATGAAGAAAGATGAATGCCTCTGGTTCATTGGACAACACAAGCTTAATCCAAGACCTTATATACATCCCTTCTGGTGTTCAGGAAACTCACTTCCATCTAAGTCAGCTCTGACAGATTTGACAGGTACCTCAATTTCTTCTCTACATAAAGTGAAAAATTCTGTCAAAAGAAATTAATAATGAAGATGCCAGAAAAAAACCTATATATTTGTATGAGGCTATTAAATGTATCAGCTTTGCTATCTCATAGGGTAGAAGCTGCAAAGACAGCAAAGCAAAATATCTTGTTTCAAGAGGAGAGGTCCAGCACAGCAGAGGTGGCTTTTCCCCCTCACAGATGGATTCAGGCATTTGCCGCTATCACCTACTAGAGAAAAATACAAAAAAGGAGCATCCTAGTGGCACTTGCATCCAGCAGCACAACATCCTGCCACTCCATTATATGCCACTGGCTTTAATTACACCTAATCTTGTTTGTTACAGATGTTGAATACTCAGCAGTAAAATTTCTAAACATCTTGACATACTTTTGGAGGAAGCTGTCCCATTTAATAGCCTTGGCAGGGGAAAGAGTCCATGTATGTTGCTTAACTGGTTAGCCCTGAAACCAAGCAGAGTATCATTTGCTACCCTAAGCTCATGCCATCCTGGGAATTATTCATCTCATCTGCAGCTTTTGCCATAAAAATACTTGCTATAACCTCAATGTCTGGAGTTCAAGTATTTCTACTTGACACTTTCATACACAGATGCAACTGAAATCTGTAAAATTAAAACCACATCAGAAGTTAGTTGTCTTTTTTCTCTCTTAATTAGGGTCATCAATGAGTTCTAAAGAATTCAGTTTAGCAAGCAGTCTTGCTAATTGCTTTTGACAAGTTTTTGGTGTCTGAGGTGTAGAGGCTGAAACCTACATCCTGCTTTATAAGCACTACAGTAGAGAATATGGCAGAAAAGAACACTTCTACTCACACATCCACTCAGATTTTTAGAAAATACTGAGTCAACACATTTCAATCTCACATGCTGTGCATTCTATCAGGCCCTTAACTTTCCTCTGGGCATCTGTAATCATCTATGCTGTTCTCTTCAAGCTTACTAGCTTGAATGTGGGCAAGTTTTTTGTAGATATTTGGGGTAGAAACTTGCAAGGATCACATTTTCTATTAAATTCAAAAATTAAATTCCAGGATTATCTTTTTGGGTTTGGATAAAAAAATTCTACTAAACTAAACCAACAATTCAAATATGTGACTTTTATTTAAGACTATTATGATTTTCTGTCACCTGCAGTTTGACAACTGAGTACAGAAAAGTACACCCTGTCAGCACAGAAAGGCAGTAAACTGCTACATTAATGCAACAACAAATTGCTATTTTTGCCTTTACCGAAGTAATTCTTTATGAAGTTAACAATGATTATCAAATTAGTTACCAAAAAGTCATTAACTGATTTCTCTGTAACAGCCTTCTGTATTAACTGCTATAGTGTAAGTGCATATATACACACAACTGTACTGAGAGCTTGATGAAACAATCTGAGTTTTTATTAATTGCTCTCTCACATGACTTCAGAAAAACAATATTGATATCAAGTATTCTGAAGTTATTAACCAATAGCCAATATCCCTACTGAAATTACTCTTCTTATGTGGAATCCTTTCCGGTAACTCATTGTGTTCAAACATCCCCTTACTAGAAACACAGTAAAATTCTAATACTAGAAAAATCAGATCTGGACTAAGGCCCAACAACAAAATAAAATGAAGCACTGTACTAAGTCCAAGAAATGTTTAATTAGACTAGGTATCTCCAAGTGGTTTCAAATGTCCTGATAGAGGTGCTTTACCACTTACCAAATATTGAACATTGCTGTAACATTCAGAGAGAAGGAAAGTTTAAAACACAAACAAAAAAAAGCTCAAGAGGGAAAATACGACTTTACCAGAAACAGCCATAGTATCACTGATCCACGCAATTGAAAATATCCAGTCCTTGTGTCCATCCTGAAAGAAGACAGATTTTTCTGTGACATTATACACAACAGCAGTCTCAAAGCAGACAAGTATTCTTCATTTCAATTTTTAGTACAAGCTCAGAAAGACAGACCGACATTATGAGCATACAGATACAGATTCCAGTATCAAGCTGGAACAGTTTAAGTACCTAACAGTAATTTTAACTTTTCTGGTTTTGAAGTGTGTAATTAATAGAGTAAACAGGTGTTGGAAAAACAGGACTCTGACCAAAGAAAAACTAATCTCAATTCTAAAATTTTCCAGAATTCTCATGTCTTCTATTCTGAAAGCAGCATTTTTCTGTAAAGTATCTACTTGTTAGGGTTCTTTTCTTCAAACACATAACCTACTATAAAAAGTAACCAAAATCTTATGTTTACAATACATGACCTACAGATTAATGTTTCAAGACTCTTTTCTTTAGCATGTGAGAAACCTGTGGGGGGAACAAAATAGACCATAAGACTCTAGTTTTGCTCAAAAAGCTAAAAAAAAAAATCACACAAATTAAGAGCAAGTCACGCAAATCTTTAGTCAAGTCTTGCTGCAGCTGGTTATCTGGTGCTGCAGAAACTCTGACCTGACCTCTGCTGCTGCAATTAACATCTACATGAAGTCCTGAATAAAAAGGAGCTGAATGAAAAAGAGAAACAAGAGAGTAGTGCTCACAGAACAGCACTATATTCTCCAGCTTGTTTCTTTAAAGACTGGCTGTTTTAGAAAGGCCTCAGGATGTTTCAGAAATAAAACCAGTACCAGAGTGTATCAAACTGCCACAAACCACTGGGTTAGAGCTAATCTTCTAAGCCAAGTTCCACCTCTGGAATAATACATCCACAAAGTGCACTGGGATAAGGGGAAAATTTTAACAACTTGCAACATCATTTTAATTTCTCAAAAGAGCTTTTTCACTATAAATAGTTTCAGAGGTCATTATCACAATTAGACCTTTTGTTACACTTTCGGCACTGAAAATGTAAGCTAAAGTAGATGTGAATGAAGGTGAGGAAGAAATCTGACTCAAAGCCCTGAAAATCCACTCATCTTTGAGTACTCAATTACATTTAAGATACCACAACAGAAATGACAACTCGATCAGAAACGTTTTCAGGCTTTGAGAGCTCTACTTTCTTACAAGACTCCAAGAAATTAACCTTGCTCTGATCAAACACACTTCAAAGTAGAAACTTTTTAAGTGATGGAATAAACTTTCCCCAGATATTCCCACTTACATCTCCCACACAGACAGGATCAAGTGTAGGCAGACGATAAATTGCAAGACTGTTGGGGTTGTCTCCACCTGTGGCCAGGAGGGTCCTTGAGGGGTTGATCTCAATAGCATGAATACCACATCCCTGCTGGTTCACCATGCCGGGTTCACGATCCTTCAGGATAGGAATCTTGGTAATTTGGCCAGTCTGGACATCTACTACAAATAACTGGGGAAAAAAAAATAAAACCCAGACATGTAAGTCATCATCAAACAGATAAGAGAAGATGGTCAAATATTACGGATGCTAGCTTTGGAACAGGCTGCAGGGAGCTGCAGAAACTGCAGGCCCATGGCCTCTCAGTCCTGCCTGAGAAGCTAGCCTGAGAACTTCATAGGAGAATTTCAAAACAGTCCTCAGAGACAGAAAACAACTGCCAGGTGCTGTTTGTCTGTCCTCTTGTTTTCCTTGCAGGAGAGAGTCAGGGGGGTAGTGTGTCCCACTGACCAATGACGGTGATGTAGCACTTTGCTAACCAATAAGAGTTTCTTTTCTGTACTTTTCCACGTATCTGTCTATAAGACAGGCCTGAAGCAATAGAGATTCTCCTGTTGTGACTCCCTTGAGAGTCAGTGTCGTTCTTTATTGCCGTTCCCAATCAGAACAACAAAATATCCTCCCTTTTTTTAACTGACATTCTTTTTGAGCTGAAAGGATTGCTGAAAAATGCATAAATTCCTTCTTAAAAGAGGTTAAATAACAATTACAGGTTTATTTCAATCATCCCATTTCATATTCACAGTAAGGGAAGGGAGAGAAATCTGTCATGGAAGGTTTCCCAATCAAAAAAAAAAAAAGCCTTTGAATGTAAAACCCTTTTCCCTGTTCAGTATGACAAAACAACATTTCAGTTTTTTCAGTTTTTCACTGTCTACCTCCCACAGTGAGAAAAAACCTACCTCAAAACAGCCATTAGGCCCCATGGATTCTCCTGCCTCACAGATAATATACTTAACATAAAGTTTTGCCTTTGGCAGACTGACAGTTTATGCAACTAGAATTCACTTCCGTGTGATAAACAGAGAATAGTAACTAAATACAATACTGTCAGTGCAAACATCTGAAGGGAAGATATTTAGCTATATACCTCATCTCGCAAAAAGACAAGAAATTAGAGCAATATGTCACTCACATCTTGTCAGAAAACTCTTTTATAAAGCCTTACAACTCTTCAAACAGACATTATGCCCAGCGTCATGTCCGTGCAGACATATACAACCATGAGGTTACAGTTTAAACCAGAACAAAGGTTTACATTGCCTGCCAAAGTGCACTTTCATTTGGGAGGCTCATGGGCTGGGTCGTTTCACAGATGGTGCTCAGACAGCAGCTGTACTGACAGTCAAATACATCTAACAGAGGAGACAAAGCCCTGTGAGGGAACATGAGTGAGCCAAGGAAAGAGGATCTGAAGCTGACTTGGCACTAAGGAAAGTGATCTAGAATTCATAGCCCAGGATTATAATTAAATTCTACATCATCTTTAGTCTGTTCCTTCTATAATGAAGAATGTTGTCTCAAAACCTCTGGAAGTGAACCAAAGATAATCGGAGTAACAACAAAACCCCTCCATACATTTTAATACACACCGTTCTGAAATCCTTTGTCAGACATTTCTAAAAGATCAGAAGAGAATCTAGGGGTTCTTAGAGAGAAGTTATAAATACAAGCTGCTTTTGGTGAACTCTAACAGAGTGTAGATCTGTTCTTTAATGAAAGCATAGGAAAAATAACATTAAGATAATTTAGCAGCATATCTATTACTTGATATACTGAACTGGCAGAATATTAACGTCCTACCAAAACATGATAAAGGTTGACGGTATGTTACACACATTCCACAAAGCAAGCTGAAATCCACTCATCACTATTGGTGTGTTGTGTCTAGAATCATGCATACCTTCACCTTGCAACTGATTGTAGGCAGCAGTCTTGCACAAACAGATGATTCCTGCAGAGACTGCATTTTCATGTTTACTTTTTTATTTTGCATGTGGTGTAGGGCAACAGCTGAGGTGTAGCTGAGTAGGAGGGAGGCACTCTTCACTTTTCCCAAGCCTTACAAAGCCTTCACTGTGGAGACAGCTGGTAAAAACACAATGCACGTAGCAGTCCCTCTGCCCTAACCACTTGAAAATTAACACCAGAACTGAAGGATCTGGATCAACAATTACCTCTCCTCTCATCCTCCCTTGTCCTTCCAATGTGAGTGTACATCCCCCTTCACCTCTAGTATTTCTTTCCTGCAGAAATTCCCAATTCCCTCCCCTATCCCCCTTCAACTACTGAAAAAACCCCAAACCCTGAACAAAATTAACCATTTAGTAGCTAGGATTAAAGCTTGCAGGTCCCTAATGTTAGTGACACCAGGAGTACAAATTAGGAAAACACATCCACATCTAAGGATGTTCACGGGCTCAGAAGAATTGTGCTGTAGCTGTAACAGATTCACACCTGGAAGTGCAGGTCAACTGGTGTAAGGACTAAAATTAAAACCCCTTTGCATTCTCTAGTCTGACACCCTCATCATACACCTCTGTTGATTAATAAGAACAGTAATGAAAAATACCTTTAGCTAAATTCTAAACTAATCAGACTAAAAAGATAAAGAACTTAAACTCTGCACACATAAGGGACTGGTATGTTGTTTTGGCTGTGAAGGTTGGAGCAGTAACTTCTCCACTTGCTTGGTAAGGAACTTGTCTACTGAGTAGTGTAAAAACAACCATCACCTCCCTTGAGTAAAATAAGCAAACACTGCCTGCACACAGAGATTCTTACATCACCTGGGGCATCACAGGAAGCAAAAGCTCACCCTTGAAAGCTGCGCCTCTGTCTGGCCAGAAGTCATCCCTATAAAACCAGCACACTGAAGCCAAGATACGCCACAGTCAATAAGACACTTTTAAAGCCAAAAAGGGAGAAACATTAAGAAACAAGAGAAGGACCCAGCTAAGAGTGCAGAAAATTTCAGTACCAATTCAGGAGTTTTAAAGATACCAGAGTAAATAAAATGTAAAGTATTTTCAACTGTTGAAATAAGTACATCTGCAAAAAACTTCAAAGCAGTGTTAGCATTAAGAGTCTTGACAATTGACAAAGTCCTGATAACTGAACCATACAGTAATTTTCTCTGTTATCTCAAACAGAAATAAGAACTTTTTCACAGCTACTCATTATATAAAAACCAAAACCCAGCCCACAATGTTTTCGCTGGACAAAAGCCTCCGAACAGTGAACCACCCTCCAAACACTTAACTGTGTGTATTTGTCTTTTGATTTTAAGCTTTGCACAAAATTGTGTTCTTCATTCTGGTAAAACATATGCACGTCAATCTTTAGTATGCCAAACAACTTAACATCCAGGATTTACCAAATCTGGATTGCTTTGGCCATCTGCCAGAAGTGCAAGGGCCATGCTTCATCTGTGAGAAACACAGCAGACTCAGCTACCATGGTCTCTGCCAGAACTGTGTTCTATACAGGGAAACAGGCTAGATGACATGGAAAAGAGAAATCTATATTCCTTCTTTTTTTTTAAAGCAGTTGAGATTGTACAGCTTGCAGCAGTGATACCACTCAAGGATCAAGGCAGACAAGCACCGTTAAGTACTACAGTTGACACAGACATGAAACTTCATGATCTTTGCACATTTGCAGGGATTGATAGCTGTACACTTATTTCTCTTTCAGCCACCCCAGGACAGCCTGCAGAAGTGGTGAGAAGTCATTTTGGCAAATGACTTCCCTCCAATTACTATATGGCTGTCCTCATGGCTGTCCAACCTGCTTATGATCAAGTTAATGAAGAAACTACCTCACTTCACTGATGAGGGAAGTTCATTAATCAGCTTGCCAAAAGTACAGACTGTGGCAGGGAACAGAGTATCCAAGGATGACAGTATGAACTGCAAAACCCATTATACTCTTATATGCAATACTGAGAGCAGAATGATTAGCTAGGTTTTTTCATTTTTTTAACTGCCTTTCAGGACACAATAATTTATGGGAGAAAAAGACCCAAAAAGCTAACAATCCAATAGAGATAAATTCCTTTCCTATGAATCTTCAACTGAAAGCATTCACTTTAAACAGCATGATTAAAAAAGAGGTATCTGAAATGCCATTTCAAGGCAGCACAGACTCTTGTGTCCTCAGCTGCTGGCCCTGCACAAAAAACCAGAAGTCCTACCCTGTCTTTATTACATAAGCAGGATGGATGGAGCTCTAAAAGGCACAAATAACATGCATGAGAGAGACTGCTCATTCTTCATGCAAGAGCTCACAACATGCTCTGTGCACCACCTCTTCATACTGTGCTCTCAGAAATCACAGGCACATTCTTGTGATTCATAGCAACTTTTGAAAGAAACCGAACTTAAGTATCTTGCCCTGCTAAAAATACTCACTAAGAGAGAACCAGTCACATTCAAGTTTCACAACTGGCTTAAAGTCTTTTAGATCTTTTGAGAATCTACATGCCTCCTCCTCCTCACCATCCACCTAAACAATCTCATCACCTTTGTGAAAGTAACTAGTGCTCAAGTAGCTGCAGGGTCAACTGGATCTGCCTTGGTGAAACTAACCCTACAAGGAAACCTGTCTGCACACAAAGCAGCAAGCTGATCCAGCTGACTCCCTAGCCACACGCGTATCAGTGCTAGCCAAAACAAGCAGGTGGGGACACCCACTTCTGCAAGGAGCACAACTCCAGACTAGCTGAGGCTGGTCACAAAAAGATCTCACTTGCAATCAAATTGGAAAATTATTACTTGTTCTCCTTCAAATATGATTTTTGCTAACAAAACAACAAAAGAAGACAATGCTTATTGTGCTACTACATCAATACTATTGCTGGTCACACCTGACTAGCAGTGATTGATTTTTTCGAGTTCTCAGCCTCAACTTTTATTCAGATCATAAATATCTTTCTTTTCAGTTCGTAAAAGAACTTGGTATCAGGTTTTCTGTTCTGTAGCAATACAAATTTACTAATATATGCGAAGCCCCAAAGACACATGGACATGTTAAACTATCAAACTGGCATCACATGTCTGCTTTCTGCTGAAGATCAAAATAAAGAAGCATAGAATGGTTTGGGTTGCAAGGAACACTTAAAAGTTATCTTGTCCAAGTGCCCAGCAGTGAGCAGGGACATGAACTAGACC